ATTATTTCCCCTTACTTTAAAACCAGTTAAAAGACACATTTATTTTCCCATGTTCAATGTTTACATATTACAAGTCCACCCACACTCCAACTTTCTCTCTGAAAAAAAAAACATTTGACATACTTCAGTGTGCGATGCAGCCTTACCTAATTACAGAATCTGTTCTGTCGTACCCTGGGATGGAAGAGGCCTTTTCTCCTGGAGATCCCAGAATTTGAAGCGTTGTATTGATATCAACCTCAGCTGAATGCTTAATGGAATATTCCATTACTTCTGGAGGTATTAGCGGAGTCTCTCCCTGAGTATCATTAGCCAAGAGGTAGCCTTACATTAAAAAAAAGAAAGAGTGATCACAAATTTCTACCCTAGGTTAACTTATGGTTTTTTGATTAAAGAATCCATTAACTTAACCGTAGACGTGGCACTAGAATCAAATGTTTGTACAAACCCTGACTAACACCGTTGGCACAAGTATATCTAACCTCCAACACTTAAAGCCATTCTGTAGAGGCAAAGCTAAATCGACAAGAAACAAAGACTGAAAAACAAGCCACCAAATTACAACAAAAACAAAGAGCAGCTTTGCTTCACGTGAAAGTACTACAGCTGATTCTTCTATAGGATAAAAATAATTTTATACAACATTTTGTAGCCAATTTTTTTCTCCTTGGGTCATGCGATAAAAAATGGCCTGATTTTACAGCTTCCCCACTGAGTCCATCTCATTCAGGATTTCTGTTCTACTAGCATTTCACATCTGTTAGAGGCTTTCAGACACCAAAAAAACTTGCTATTATAAAGTTATATGAAATATACTTCATAATGGAGGATACTTTTCTCCTAACAAAATACAGACATTGTTTTAGTTATTATTATGCTTTACAGACAGATGTAAGAGAGTTCCAGCTAAAAAGTAAAAAAAAAAAAAAAGTGTATAATCAAGTTCCGTGAAATGTAACAAGATACAGGTACACGGATCATCAGCACTGATTGATTCTGGAACTCGCTCAATCTGAAAAGATCATGAACAGACTAATTACTTGAATAGACTGACTAATAACACATCTCAGAAAATGAATGATGAAATTAGTCACAGGCATTTTCAAAGGACATCCCTTATGTAAAGATTTAATTAATCTTAAAGATCACCCTCATATTACTCATGGCAGACGAAAGGAAGACAAAGATTTTTTGTGAACAGCACATATAAGATGAAAGCATCATATGGGATTAAATACACACAGTCAATTGACAGTAGCGGACATGCTGGGATTTTTTTTCATGAGGTGTTTCAGTTTCAGTAAGAATACCAGAATAGGCACCGCTTAACACTGTTCACTAACCTGTGACTAAAATAAGCCAATGAATATCCTCATACAGGTCATCAAGCACTTTGTTGTCAATTGAGCCTGACGCTGGTGAGGCAAGTAGCTGTTGCTGATGTCTTTGCAACTGACCATGGAGCCTTGTCACTCGGTCTTCTAATAAACTGTGGACAAATAACAATAAAATAACTTTGCATAGTCCTTAAATTGTTTTTGCAAAATCAGGCTTCTCATATTTGGCAGCTTCACTCATCCGCATTCACAGATATTGCTCTGTACCTGGTCAGAAGAGGTATACAGTGCTCTGCAGCGATTCTCCCCAGCATGCCCACGCTGGCCAGCTGGTCGCAGAACTGGTCTCTGTCATCCTCCTGCAACTCGCTTATCTCTTCTTCTTCCCGAGAGGCCACGCCATTGGCAGTCTGTTGTTATTTTAACAAAATTAGAAGTAACCAGTTAATGTTACACTTCCTAAATATCATCATCACATTTCAGCACATCTTTTCACTGTTTTCTTTCAAGCTTTTTCTTTTATTTTATTTTGACTTGATGGACAACAGGCTCATACTAGATTAGATACAGAAGAGCTAAAACAGAGCAACAGACTTGGCCTCATATTATTTTGAGATCAGCATTTCACAAGCATATTAGCAAAATGCCAAATTGAACTCATTGTATATTTGCTACTGTTTCCAACAGCTTTCTCAAATCCAAAGATTCACTGTTAGTGAAAAGAGTCAAGGATAAGAGTTATGAAAATTGATACTTGTTATTAATAGCATAAGTACAGGCTGGACAATAGCAGAACAGCTTTTGTGCGCCACTGGATGTATAATTCAGCTCTGTCAAAAGCATCCGCTGCTAGAGGTGCAATATAAAATACTGAATATCTCTGGCTCACAGAGCTGGTCTGCGAACCCAGTGGTCAGAAGATTGCTGAAACACATCTGCATTTCAGATCACACACATATCAAGCCAAGAACCATTTTAAACACTGAAACTTATTTGCTTTTTCCCGGCCTATCCTTGTAGTCATACAAAGATACTTTTCTCAGTTCTCTGAGATCTTATATGAATCACAAAAGAGGTAGTATTTTTCATGACGAAATGAAAGTCACCTCTTTCATTAAAAATTGTCCATAATACATTGTCCACAGAGAAAAAGCTTTAAAAAGTAAATGCTATAATCTCAGAAAAATAGAAGGCAAATTTAAAAAAAATAATTTTTTTAAAATTTATTTCTTGCTGAATGCAGAAAGACGCACGCTTTGGTTTTTCAAAGCTTATCTTGGTTAGATCATAGAACCACCTGTATAATAATCGGACCTCATTTCCTTGAGGCGATCAACCATTTTATGTTGAAATTACATATCAATGTTAAAAAAAGTTAAAAAAAAAATTTAAAGAATTAAAGTTTCCACAACCGACAAAGTAGAATAAAAGCAACAGAGAACGCTATTGTTTTGCATTGTTTCTCCAAAGGCTCTGGAAAACTGACTCCACACACAATTCCTTATCCAAAGTGCTTTTAACCCATCTTTTCTTTATCTAACCCAGCAAATCATTCTCTTTTGGCAACTTCAAAGTTGCAGCTGTTTACCGCAGAGTGAGTCCCTGCTCGCAAAGCGGAGACTGCAAGTTCTAGCGACCGCTTTGATATCCAACAAGAAGCATTCTAAAACGCCAGCTGTGGCTTTTAAAAGGTTACCCATGGGCTAAACGACTTATCTCACAGAATGACATGAATTAACCTGTATATACAAGTTATGTCAAGATCGCCTGACATGAATTCAAAGTTCTCCTGTGAAATACTTCCCTCTGTTTTGGCACTGTTATTACCATCTGTTACATATCAAGATATCAGAATTAGGTTTTATATGGGACTTTTCAGAATGAGGTATCTATCAGCATCAAAATTAAGGAGACTAATTTTGATATGGTCACTGAATCAAATCTATGCAATAATTAATTCATTCGACATTTACATCCAGCTTTCTATACTATAATCTCTTTTAGTAATATGCAGACTTCCGGCAAAGAGACTTGTTTTGTTTCTCTCTTGAAGTCATATACTTTCAGTTTTTCCCCAAAACAGTCACCTCAAAAATTCGATAGAGAATTCACGTACCATTTTATCCAGAAGAGCCATGCCGTATTGTAAGTTTTCTCCTAGTCTGTGCACAGCCATACTACGTTTTCTCAGATATTTATACATGTCTATTATATTTCAAAATAGCCAATTAAATTATATTTTGAGGATAATGTATGGCAAGAGAGGCAACAACAGCACTAAAAGGCTTCCCACTTCAGTCTGGAAGACACTAATCCGGGGAAGTTTAGTCATTCCATCTCCAGGGAGATCAATAGGCTGCAGGCCAATTTTGGAGTAACGGGTTTGTTTTTAATTAGTATCTTCTTTTGAAGTGATTCCCACTTTTGTATTTCCTTTATTTCCTCTTCAGAATGAGATAAATAGACTGAAAAAAATGACTTTTTTGTAACAAATTCAGCAAGTTTTTCATTTCCAATCAAAACCATAAATAATAATTCTGTATTAGCTCCCTCGAGCTAACATAAAATGGTACACACCAAAAGACATGGCTTAGTTACCATATGTCATTAAGAACCACTAGAACAAGGGCTTACCAAATTCCTTGTACCATCAGGAGCAGCTAGATGGCACTGAATATAAGAATTAAAAACCTGAACAGCATGTCGGGTAAAGAAACCTTTATGGAAATGTTTGTCATCTTGCACCAAAGTAAGCCAAGACTCCAGCAACTTATCATATGCTTCCATATATACCATATCATCTTTGTCAAGCTGTAAGACATGGAAGAAATAAAACAAAAATGTTATTCCTAAACTAAATCAGAGTAAAACACTTATATTCATTATTCTTTAACAAGTATTCTTCTTAATGTTGAAGTAATTAAAACAAAAACAACAACAACCAGTCACAAAATCTGTGTAAGGACAGCCAAGAAAAAAATCTGGATGAACTGAAACAATAAATGGAAAAAGGTCAGGGTAATTTTCATGCTTGCTAAGCATTCAGAAACTACCAAAGTTTCTAAAACTTCTGAAAGTTTCATACTACCTAAACATGCAAACTTCAGCTCTTATTAGTAACAAAAAAAAATTGAGCTATTTGTATTTAATTAGGTAGAGAAGTGCAAAACCATGTGCCTAAGGATTTATATGCCTTCCACTATTTTTGAAATAAAGAGATAGACAAGATGACAATTCTCTCCTCTCTTCCGCAGGACAGCGTTATAAGATTGCATGTATTCAAGAAACCCTACTACAGGTAGCCAATCCAGATGATGAGACACAACAACTCAGTCCTGTGGACAAAATAAAAAGGCATAACTCCATGGAATAAGCCAGCACTTCCAATTGCTAAGTGGATTTTAACTGAAGCAACATGTTTTCATTAGTCATGTCTTTCTATAACTGTTTGGTACATAAGTTGCAAAAAGTAGTAACATGTCTGAAAAACAAAACTCCTGAGTTACAGGCAAGAAGATAATGCAATAGATAATGCCATGAAAAAAGAAGTTTTTGGCACTTTATGGTATTCTCATAAGGAAGCTAGGGAAGCACGATGCCTCCATAACGTAGGTGCACAACTAGCAGAAAGACTTCGTCCGTATCAAACAAATTGAGTCACAAAGAAACCTTAGTAAAAATTCCCAATCCTTGCTTCAGACCAGTGATCTGGATGACAGGGTATGGCAGGACCAAAGATGTCACACAGACAAATTGTAAATAACATGCCGCAGCATGGGGAGCTGAAAAGTTTTGATGCATCCAACAGAAACAACACTTCCCAGTTCAGAACTCTCAGCTTCAGCAGAGGCCAGATACAACCTGTAATTAAAAGCCTAATTTCCCTAAAATGGGAAAGGAAAATAAAACTAGCTACTTCTTTCTTCATAGTCTGTTGCCCTTTTGAATAAAGAACACTTCTGAACTTTGTCAAGCAGCATCAAATTGGCAGCAGTTAGAAGCAAAGTAGAGAAAGGGACCAAACTCAGAATGACCTCTCCCATCATGTTTTTTTTTTTTTAAATACCACAAAACAGGAACAATGCATTAATATTCATTCTGAGCAAAAGAAATCTTTGACAGCATTTCTATTTCCATTTGACTTTTCATTCAACATCCTGTTTATACCCACCACTCATTCCGCTGGACTATTTGATTTCTACTTCTGCGTAACAACTGTCTTGAGCTAAGGAAAGCATAGCTGGACAAGCATCTTCTCCCAGATCCAGCACTATCAAAGGAAGAGATGACTGATCCAACTCGTGCCACACAGTACCCCCCAGCACTGCTGATGCTTACCGCCTGCCACTATCCAGCCAGGAAAGCTGTTCAGGCAAACGTTCAACCTTCCCTCAGGCAACCTCCTCAACCCCAACAGCCAGCTTAGCATAAAACAAACATCTGAACGTGAGCTTTTTTTGGTTTGGATTTGGCCCCTCCTTCTTTTTTTTTTTCTTTGTTGGTTGAACATCAATATTAGCAACAGCAGCAAGTACCATGAGCAACAGCTTGCAATTCTGTGCCAAGCCATGCACTGCTTCGAAGCGGTCTGCACATGACGGTTTGGGATCTCCTGATTTTGACAGTTTCAATAGGAGGCCTCTGGCTAAGCCGATTCCTTGTGCCTGATAGGGTTTCTGCAACGTTCACATGAGCTGCTCTGCTGGCACATAAGGTGGCAGAAAAACAGGGAAATAGCTTTTCGCACCAGCAAAGCTCACAGAGTACGTCTGCCTGCGTTCGGCCGCGGTCCAGCATTCTGAAAAGTTCCCGGAATATTTATCTCGGTACTCCAGCGAGCCCACCACACGCGGCATTTCCTCTTTCAGCACAAGTTCTTAATTACAAAAAGTGTGCGAGCTCAGAGAATGCATCACTGCAAGCAATCTATGCAAGAAGCCTAGGCAACACGTTAACCAGGGTTGGGACTTTCCCAAGCCAGAGAGTGCCTTCAGGGTCCCAAAGCAGTATTTCTACTAGGCACAGCACTGTATCATGCAGACCATAAGCAATAGCAGGCCTTATTGCCGATACATTGTCAAGGTATAAGAATTATTTTTCTGAAGGTCCACAGCCACAGAATTCTGTAAGATCCTGGAAATCAGAGAAACAGCGTGAAGCTGCGAAACATCCTATACATCTATAAGAGCCAGGACACAAGGAACGGGGTGAAAGCATAATGTTTCTTTTACTACAGAATGATTTACGCGTTCAAGGACAGCGAACAAATTCTCTCATAAAAGAAAAATCTTGCATTTTCTCTTTTTGATGTTGCTGAATCGGAGAACATTTAAGTATAATACTGCAAAGACTTTCTGTACTACCATAGTTTTCTGCTAAAGAAGCGTAGGCAGCCATAGTTCGTTAAGCGTAACTAGTCAGCCATTTCCAAAACAAACTCTTTGAGGACCTCTCAGCTTTTGCTGAAAGGTATACCGAGCGCTCCTGAAGTTCAGTGCGGTTGCGTATTCCAGCTTTCATGTAGGAAGAGGCTAACAGAGGAAGCAATGCACGCTCTCCAGTCTCTTTAACTTAAATGATTGGTATCTATGATTCTGCTGAATCGTCACATAAAGGCTTCACATAAGGCTTCACAAAAGTTCACATAAAGGCTTCGTGAACGTTCACAAATCTGTCGGCAAACACCAGCAACAATAATATCATTCTTTTCCGAGTTCTACTAGACAATCTCTAAAACAGAACAAATTATGAACAATAAAGTTTGAAACGCTGGTACATTTTAAGATTTTAAATGTAATCTACTTCTTAAGTAAGATAAGAACACTCTGAAATGTTAAGCCAACATTGGGCCAAGCGAAATATATTTTAACCTTGCAGCAAAGACATAAGTTCTAATGCTCTGCAACGAACACTAATCGACACATCTGTGTTGTCCCCACACGTCCGTCAACTTTATAACTAAATAGTTCTGTAAGTATTTTCAACCTCAAGCATTAAAGCCCAGTCAATGTAGCTTAACCAGTAAACTCTCATATTTACCAATGACAATAGGGGAAGATTAGCTAATATCTTGATAGCCATAATCACTACATTTTAATCAATAACTACTGCATATAAATAGCTCCAATGCAAGATTATTTGTCTTAATACTTAGGGGCTTTTTTAAAAAGTTTTGTATCCTTATAAGCTTTTGTTTTTAATGCAATTTCGTAAACAGAAGATGCAGAACATCCTAATTGCTCCTGAATGTTACAACTAAAGTTTCAAAGTAAGCAGAAGCCCTGTGAACTCCTGTGCCAGATAAGCACACAGAATTATCTTTTGACCTGTGCTAGTGACGAAGGGACGATTTAAACAGCTTAGTAGTGTGGGGTTAACAACAGAAGATCTTAACAGCTACATCCACTTAAAACAGAAGTTCCTGACTTGTAAGCCCTGACAGCAGCAGGTTTCAGTCCGTCCATTTGCTCATATTGCCGCTCTAAGCTTTCAGAACTGTCGCTTGTTAATCATCTACACTTCTCAGAGAAGTCCTGCAGGAGCAAGTCAGCAATATTTAAGTCTTGTTTTTGTTTTTAAAATGAATCCATTCCTTTAAGAATGAAGCAAATACAAGACAGGTGCCTTAAATCAAAACAAAACTTTGTACAATCTGAGACTGTGTAATTGTTCTTTACGTTGCCCTGAACAAAACCAAAATCCTCTCAGATGTGATTTCAGTAATATCTAAAACAATGACAGAATTTCAAAACAATATATTATGCGGTTATTAGCAAAACGGCCAAATTCTCATGTCACTAACGCAAACAGAGGGAAATAAAAAAGTTACCTACTATTTGAGAATGGATACTCACCACCTCTTCCAAGGCAGCACTTCTCCCAAAAGAACAAGTGAGGTGTGCGAGGCAGTTAACAAATGAAGAGAAAAGTTCATTTGGAATGGCAGTTAAAATATTGCGAGGAAATACGGTTATCAGGTTGCTGATAATACTGGAAATTCCCACTGCTTCAGAGTCTTCTATTTCAATTCTATAGATAGAAAGGACAGTTACTTTTCTCTAATTAAGAAAAATGCTAAAAGATAGTTGATTTTGCTGATACATTTTCAGCCAATAAATCTGCTTCCTGTTACTTAAGAAACACCTACTTTAAACTGCATTTCTTTTAATTGCAATAATCCAAAGCAAGCACAAATTATACCCAGAAATAAGCAAGCCACACTAGTTCTCCACACACACACACACACTACGCTCCAAACCAAAGATTAAAAGATGCCGTCTAAATTTAGAGAGCAGGCGTACATACCCATTGATAGTATTCAGTAATCCCTCAATGAAGTGTGCCAGGTAATCGACTTGTGAACCTTCATCAGGAAAGACCGGCCCATGCAAAGAGGCCAGCTGTGCCAGACACTGTAACGAATCTTGGGCCATATCTGTATCTTCTCTGATTTTTCGATGTACCTTTCAGGAAGCGAGATAGTTAATAATACACGGGAAATCGGGTGTTCTTACAACTGTCACATGGCTCTCAATCCAAAAGAGCACACACCAAAAAAAGCTTACTCTAACTCCTATTCAGCCTGAAGTGGAAGGGTTTCTACAACTCCAAAAACACAGTAAATGTCAAGATTGCATCTCAGTTCACAACCGTCACAAGCCATGAATTAACGCACTAAAACTGACACTTAGCTAGGTCTTACCTACATTTTGAAAACTGAACTGTCTACTGAAGGTTATGTCTTAAGGAGAGAAACAGATGCCAGCCAGTCAGACATACTGCTCCTTCTAAAAACAGCAATAATGACAGTCATCCGTATTATGCTAACTATGCCTAGGCTACGGAGTCTTGCTAAAGTTAGTCAACAAGTTCAATCAAGATTATATAGATGCTCCTCCAGCAGAGGTAAACACTGAAGACATGCACAAAAACGAATGCATCACTTCCTTGGCAACACCCTTACATTATACAAGGCCAACCGTGATCTTCTCTCACTTCGGTGGCCTGTTACATCACTGCTGCTGCTGGTAAAGCCTTCCACGTTCAAAACTCCTACCTAATACTGCAGTCAGCACAGCTACTTATTGCAATCATCAAGTATGGATTTTAAGACTTCTCTTAGGATCATAATGCTATTTTTTCCACGTAAGACTTGCTGAAAAATAAACATAGGGTAGCTTTTCCCCTCCCAAACACATTTAGTTAAATTATTTCAACAATATAAATAAAAGCTCTGTTAAAACATAATCATTTCTCTATACATTTTATTTTCAATTGCATCCAACTGGTAACTAGTTGGATTAGCTGCACAGTTAACTTCTGAAAGAGAAAAATACTAGGGGAAACAAACCTTGAAACCAAAATACCCTTTTTAACGTATGCCCCACTAGGAATAGGTTAGATCTGAAGGTTTCCTCTTTTACGTGGTAGTCTTGCCAATTTTTGTAAGGTTATTAAAGTTTCTTAGATCTAAATGAATATAAACTGCCACCAGTCGTTTGCATTACCTCAAGAGGGAAACTAATACTACAAGCCTCAACCATTGCAAATTAGGAATTTAAAACCAAAACTAAACAGCAGACTGTTCTGGCTAGCATTCGCTCAAAAAATAATCAAATGCTGGCACTTGTCGGTTATTATTGAAGAAAATGCAAATGTATTAAAGCAATTCTGCATGTTATTTAAAATATTATTCTTATCATTAATAATTAATTGCCTTTTAAACAGTCAAAGAACCAGATATGTAACTCAGACAACTTCATACTACTAAAAAAGAAAGGGTTAATGTGTAAGCCAAAAAGTTATTTGCATGTGGAGTTTCACAGCTGACAGTAGCAACTGTCTGGATAGTCTAGACAGCTGTTCAGATTGTGTGTAGCTGCTAAGAGCTCTGCCAGCAATTTTTTCACCTTTTCAAAACTCCTGGAACAGATAAACTTTCAGTCAAAAAAAAAATCATTTCTCACTTATCCAAAAAGAAAAGAAAAGAAAAAAAAAATCCTACAAAGTGCGGACATGGCATCCAAACTTATATCAAAACACTCTGAATCAGCACTGAAGATTTACATCCACTTTGTCTAATAATCACTTTGACTAAGTTTTGAACATGTTATTTCTCTGCCTTGCAAAAACGAACACAGCCTGAAGAATGCTGAACTCTCAGGCCCCCCCAGATGCAACATCAAGTGAAATTACCATACTACACTAATTTATAAACCATTAAATGTTATTGTTGCAGTAATTCCTAGCTGAGCAAAGACTACCAACCTCTCCCCCCAACAGCGGTGAGTAAGAAAAGCAAAAGTAATTTTATTCGGTTTTAATATCAGATTTTTTTAAAAACACGACAGGAACAGAGCACTACAAGCCCTCTCCCTACTCTACGTCTTTCCCTTTTTTTTTTAACTTACTGCATTTTGATTTAACTTGTTTGGATCTGCTTTGTGCTGGGGAAAAAGATGTAGAGTTTTAGATACTGAAACTGTTCAGAAAGCTGCAATTGCATTGCTTATTTTCAGCTGTTCCGTTGAGCGACTGCTAAAATATCCGTAAAAACATTCATTTGTTCATTTAATCTTTTTGAAAGGTGCTGCACCTTAGCTGAAAAACATACACAACTGCTACTGCTCACCATGCTTGGTTTCATTTGATGAATACATGTCCAAAAGCATTATACGTATACAAGTTTAGATAATCATAAATTTTTTTTTCTTTAGTTAATGGTTCTCAGTTTAAGGCAATTTACAGGCAAAATATATATTTTGATGACCTGATAAAAACACATTACTTCTGTTTGCTTTGATAAACCAGCTGAAGTTAACTGAATCAGTCCTACCTGATGCAAAAGGAAGGATCCCGCAATAAAGTTTTAAAACAGGAAGGAGCTGCTTTCCCTGTGGATCTGTACTATGAAAGTTGAAGAATGAAACTTACTGTAAAGAAAAGCTCCATAACTCTGCTGTCCAGGAGGGTCTCGCGCCAGGATTCTGTTGGCTTTAGCATCACATTTTGTGAGGATTCAAACATAGCTATATAATGTCTGCCCAGTTATCTGGTGTCAAGGTCAACAATAACATTCCTACTTGGCTTTAAAAAAATCCTAGATACAACAGGATCCATTCAGAAAGAATGTAATGGAAACAAACTTTAAGCCTCTTCACATACACAGCATAATTCATGCATGAGGCCAAGGAATAAAAGGTATTAAGTATTGAAAAAAAGAATGCTCCAGGAATGTTAGATAACAGTTTGATCATAATTATGAGACATGCCATAGTGATACGATCACTTTGATAACCAGGGTGTCTAATGTGACACGGCAAGAAGGGAAAAAAGCAACCGCGATTAACAGGTGCTAAAATTTATGCAAAATGGGAAATCATTTTGCAAAAAATTTTCCTGGCAGCTTTTATAAAGGCCTTATGAGAGCTAAAGATAGCTCATTGAAATCTATATCCTTTTTTTCTAAATAGCCAAATACGCTTCACAGAATGCAGATATGTCAGCCCTGCATTAATCTACATTTTTTATTATGCTGTGAAGAACAAAAGCAGAAGGCACCACAAGTCATTGTCATATTAAACATGTGTTTGTAAGAGACACGCAGAAAAAGCGCACACACGCTGAAACCAGGACGTCGTTGCTATCGCACGAGTTCTTACTATGCGTTCTGGCATAATTCAATTTTTATGAAACTCTCCAAATGCTCTAATATAGAAAAAAAAAAATAGAGACATGGGCAAAACCAAGTATATGTGACAGTCTTTGTCAGGCAGACCACAGCGCAGTGTTTATCAAAGATTCCTGAAAGTGCTTCCTTCTGTGACACCTCCCCGTCCAAGCAGTAGTAAAACTGCATCAACACAGCAGCTTAAGTTTTCATTTGCCTTTAAAGCTTGTCACTGCCCTCTCTGAGCCCTTTCTCACCCAATCATCAGAATGAGTATCAGTATGCTCAGCTGCACGTAACGTACGTATCTGTGATAGATAAACCATACTGAGTACTGCACATCGCCAGGTACTACACAGAAACGTCCACGAAAAACAATTTGTAACTGCAACAAAATCAGTTCTACGATGGTATCATTCCGGAAAGCACCCTTTGGGTTTTGGTGGCAAAAATCGAACTTGGTACCAAGCGCTGTGGCACAAGGCAGGATGCACAATTTCAACTTGCCAGCTGCCTTCAGAGATCTGCGCGGGCTCTGCAGCAGCAGCCGCCGCCAAAGCCAGAACTTCACAGCAGCACGCTGCCGAACCTGGTCATAGCAAAGCCACTTTTCCCACAGTAAGGGATCATAGAGAACTTCATTGAAGGTAGGTGCCTAGAACTGTTCTCAACACACTATCATGCATAAGAACAGTTAAGGACATTCACGTTACTACAAAACAAAACCAGTTACACCATTTTCAAAATTATCAATACATGTATATACAATACCAGACCACAACCGATCTACGTTATTTTAGACAGAAAACAAATCAGAGAATTGCCAATTCTACTTCCATCTGAAATACATGTATCATTCAAGTGATAAAAAATGCTTCAGTTCTTTCAGATAAAAATGGAAGAAAATGGGCATGAAATTATCACATGCAAGCATCCCTTATCAGGGCTAATGCTACGACTATTACTAGAGGTGCTTGGCTCCGGCACAATAAGCTACATATTTTTCCTCTGGTTTTGGAATATTTTTAGAAAAGACAGTGTTGGTAAATTGTTTATTTACAAGAGTATCCTTTCTTCTAATTCTCCAAGAAAAGATTTGCTAGGAAACACACGAGCACGAGAAGATGATGAAAGATACATCTTCAGCCTCTGCAAATCAATTTGCTCTTCACTAGGTTTAATTTACAGAGGACACCAGTTACGTAACACATTTCACGTGGAATGAAAGAAGGGCCAATTTGCTGTCACTATTTTAACAAGCCTCAGTATTTAGCAGTTCTATTCTGTTATTTTTAGCATTGAATTTCAGGCTAACGGGCTGATGACACATCTGACGATAGTAGATTTGTAGGTAAAAATATATGTTCACTAAACAATACAAATTATGTCTGCACCTACCATGGAGATCTTACACCCATTTTCTATCACATGCTTAGAGGGACACAAACACTAGCATAAGTTGGGTTTGGAGATGCTTGCTGCTGTGAAATACCCTAATTTGGTCTGGACTATGGTTCAGCCCTATTGGCAACAGACGCCAAACCTGAAAAACTGGCACAAAACACCTAGTACATGGACTTCTGCAGCTGCCCAGAACAAATGGTGCCTTCACCATCAAAAATTAATTTAACATCTCAATGCTTCTGAGTAAACAGTACAGAACTAGCCCAACACTCTTCCTAAGTGCTCAAACTACAGCATAGATTTATGATAAGCATTATCAGTCTACTATGACATCTTGATAACTTTTTAAATGAAAAACAAGGGTAAAGCACTTCTCATAATACGGAAGTTACTCATTTTTCAGTAGAACTAAGAATATTAGTTCTTATTAGAGCTCACTCTGGATGACACAGAAATCCAAGCTAAGAAACACTTACCAGAAATATAACAACATTTTACCCACTTCACAAGACACACAACCACTGATTCTTATGGAGATTAAAAACGCCTGCTAAAATCAGAAAAGATTATTCATTAAAACGTATCAAGCTCTTCTGAAAAGCATAAGAATGCAACTAGATGCCTTCACATATGGTAAGGCTCACACATTCACCGGTTCATGCCTAAAGAGGAAGAGGACAAGACTGTACTCTTTAACATAGATTTTCTTTTATCTTTGCTTAAATTTATGTATGTAGCCATCAGCTCTACAATTGGTTGTTTCATGAATCGTAGAAATGAGAGTGATTTCTTTAAAAATGGGAAGTAAAACATAAATTTCAAGTTCTATATGCTCCTTGGGTGAACACATTTGAATCAAAGTGAAAACATGTATATGTTCTTCCCATCCCTTGTCTCCCTTCCCAGGAGGGGACTGATGGGTGAGGATGAGTATGAAAATCTTCCAGATCCTGGGGCAGCCCCTGGGGATGAGAACACACGTTCCGCTTCAGGACTTCCCATAAATCCCAGTCTTTGAAAACGAATCCCAACATTTTTTCCTTTCGAGAGGCAAGGTCTGCCTTTCACAAAGCAGTAAAGCAGGAACTCAGAAACAGAAGCCGAGATTTCTTCTGCCAGACATCCATCTACAAGTTTGTCCACAGGAGTGAAGAACTCAGAAAAAGCAAACAGCTCCTGGAGCACTAAGGCCTGCATGCCTCTGTTTTAGAAGTTATTGTAATCACTTCGCCTCTGTTGTTTGGAATACTTTTGGAGAGCTCTGTATCAGTCTTAGACTTGCATTTTACAAACAAAAAACTGAATTACACATGTAGTGGCTTGGAAATTTGCCATCCAATGTTACAATGCTAACATACTGCTTATATTTGAATTTCGAGACTTCCTCTGGATTGCTAGTCAGCCAAGCACATGGGATGGGTCTAGAAGCAACTCTCAAAATAGGTGCAGAGGCTTGCTGCCCCCTAAGGAAGAAGGTTTTACAAATCTTTATACTAACTTATGATCTCAGGAAGCAGATCCAGCATTTAGGAGAAGGAAAGTATGCTTAAACACTTAACTATTAAACACAAGTATCATTAACTATTATGAGAAAGAAATAACCACACTGTGCTGGAGACACTAGATTCAGATTGTGTTTACAAAGCAGTAGGCATAGGAAATACAGGAAGATCTAAGCTAATTTTAAAATCAGCTGATTCAGGAACTGCTAGCAGAGGTAGCCACGCTAGCACAAAGCCTCATGTTGGCCACCCAGGTGTAGTCTGCAGCCCCTGCTAACCTTTGCTACCATATTTGCTACCACTGATAGTGAGCAAGCTAAGTGCTTTAGATGCTTAAACTACCCGTGCAAAAGTGACTGTCATACAGATGCAGCTCAAGAATCACACCTTCCACTATCTACTGGCTGCCATTTAGGAAGTTTATGGCAAAACACTGCAAAACCAGACACTTAAACCTTTGGGGAAAAGGGCAGAAGAGAAAAAAAGCTATACATTTAGCTTGTATCAGTTCCCCCGTGTAAAATGGGTCATTACTAGTGCCTCTTCTTCTTCTTCCATTATTAACGTTTTCAAGATGCTTTTAGATTGCAAACTAACTTACAGAACTCATTCAGGAAAACTCAAATGATAAAACATTAACTGTTAAAAAGTTTAAAATCAATATGAACACATTTATGACCAAATTCAGGGCTTCTGTCAATCTCCTCTTTCCTTTTTTGCTCAGCTTTGTCTTAAAACATTGCCAAAAAGAATTGTCAAGAAAACTCATACTATTCCAGAAAAAATGTCTAAATAGCATGGATTTCAAAATCAGGTAACTTTTCACCCAAGAGTGCTAGGACTGTTAAGAGTAAAAATGCAGCCATCACTTTTGTACTTCCTTACGCACAGCTGTTTTAGTTGCACTGAAATTTTCTTTACATGCCAAACAATATGCAGGATAGCAAGTCATCCCTTCAGCTTTCAGATTAAGGATAAACTGCTGTAGTAAATTCAGAACATCTCCAGGCTACTGGAAATATTATAATAATAATAAGGATAAGGGGGCAGCCTTGTTGCTGAAGGAAACTCGGGTTGTTGCTCCTCACTGCAGGCTGAAATGTCCGTGCAAGTGCGCAACGAATCTAACTGGCAACCTCATCCTGCTAAAAATGTTTTCAGGCAGTTCCCTGTGTAGTGTCTCCGCTCACGGGAGGTGCTGGGACAGGGTGCTTTTTCAGCAGCACTGCCAACTTGAATCATTCCTCAAAACAAACCAAGTTTTCTAGAACAGTCTGTGCGTTCTTAATGCACATTAAGAACATCATGCACAACAGATGCTACCAATCTGGGTTGGAATGAGTTCAAATCTTGAAAGTCCGCCGAGCTATGTGGTTCACCGGATCTCCCAGAAAGGTCTCTCCTTCTGGCTTGGGGTATAAAAGGCAATTCCACAACAGAGCTATGAGAAGTCTGTTCCTTTAAATGCGTGGCGACACTGAGGAACATGCATACAAAAAAGTTTAGATGTGACAAGGGCTTCAGTCAGCTCATACAATTGCCATCGCACCATTAATTTCAGTGGAACAGAACAATGTGCATTAGCAGAATGCTTCCCATTAGGTTTACAAAGCCTATATTTTAAATTCAATCCCTATTCTATAGTAACTTGAAAATTTGCCAGCTTCCTCCAAGCAAAAGGAGGCATCACATCCAAAAAAAGAACTAAAACTAAGGCTGTTCTTCATTCAGAAACTATTAGTGCTGTTCACAAAAAGCTATGAAAATCCGTTCCTCAATGAACCAAATAAGGAACGACTGGTTCTGTGATAGCTCTTAATGACAGATAATGAGCCCCTTTTTGCAGATGGAAGACATCAGCACACAATCTTATGCTCTGTTTAAGAACTTTGGCATTGGTGGGCATTCATTCAAAGTCCATTAGAACACGGCTGCCAAGAAGAGACAAATCCCAAACTCAAGAAGGACTGAGAAACCTCTCCAGAGGGAAGAGACTATAAACTATAATTACATCTTGACTTCACAGGACAGATTGTATGCCCACATCAAGATGCATTAGAGCCCAGCAACATTCTGCTCCTTAACTGAAGACTTTGCACTCGTAACACGCTACAAGTGGGATCCTTGAAGGCACGCTTATAAAGGAGATGGCTGTACACCTTAGCAGTGATCCCCTGCATTTCCTTAATCTTGTTGAAACATTTATTTCAAAAGAAAAGAGGCAGCTAGAACTAAATCCATCCAAGTAAACAGTATTCAACAATGCTGTAACTGCACTGAAAAAAGAAACCCTACAGAAGCCAACATGCCACAGCAGACTGCCATACGTTCTTAGTGCAAAATAGGAATTCTATGTTATTGTCATTTCCAACGGTACTGCCAAAAACCTCTGAAGCATCCACAAACACCAGGTGAACTAATGCCTAGAGGTAGTAGATAAAAATAACAAAGTGTGTTAGAAAACACGATGGAAGAAACTGCACATGACTGGAACAAGGCCTCCTAGATCATCATGTCCTCTCCCTACTATTGCGAGCACTGCATCCTGAAACCCTCCAAAAAATACTGAATTCCCTCTCAAAAGCAGGTAGGTCCCAGCCTCTCTTCTTTCACTGCTCCAATGAGGTGGCTATTCCAGATTGCGTTTCACACACCAGCTCGTCTTTCCAGCAGTAGACAATACAGACTTACTACAACTCTTCTGCTATAATAGGTGGCAGTATTGCCCAAGACTGCTTTTAACAGTGCAATAAATACTAAATTATCCTACAACAGCACAAGAACTGTTTAAAAGCCAGTAAGTGATATGTTTTGATACAATTCTCACAACTTAGTGCTTAAAATAATATACCTCTTGAAGATACTCACTGTAGATCTATTTAATGGACTTTTATGCTATGTTTTTTTTGGAGATACAAGAATCTTGCTAAAGATTATATAGCGATACTCCAAATTACTGCTATTCTGCAAAGAATACTAAGAATCCACACTAATCTAATCAGAGAAAATAACAGCTAAAAGAAAAAAGAATCTGTGGATACAATGGATGATTTTACTCAATGACTTAAGTATCAAATTTATGCCCATTGCTTTGGCATATATTCTGTCAAGTACCAACTGAGCAATCAGTACAACAATTTTTAGGTTCTTACATGTGCTGCCTTTTTAGAAATTGTAGCCAAGTTAAGCTCCATTGTGCAAGAGCTTACAACCAACAGTTACTGCTTAAACCTGTCTTTTTAAGGAAGAGAGATTTATGTCACAATACCATCAGCAACACGTTGCTGTCACTTCAACATTACTGCATCTTAGCCAGCTGAGATCCACACCTCTCAAAGGTGATTAAAGTTACTCCAACTTCTGTGAAAATAGGTAGCAACATAGAGGAGAGAGACTCAAATTAGTGCTGTATGAAATGCCAAACAGTAGAAAACAGAAAAACAGTATCAAGTGGACAGAAGTTATGAAAAGATTTGAAATGCAGCCACATAAGAGCAGCTGTAGTGGTGCAGACTAAAGGCCCATCTAGACCAGAATCCTATCTCCCGGAGTGACCAGAATCTGTTTATCAGCTATAGTATCTATAGTATACTAAATAGGGCAACCAGCAGAAAACACTGTTCACCTTAAGCAGCAACAAAGCTTAACAATTTCAATTAACACTTATTTACTAACACCTATTTACAGACTAAATCACTTCTTATTGTACAGAGGGCATAAATAGAAAACAAATTCCCAAGGCTACACATCCTGCTTGTATGCATCTAGCTCCACTACCACAATTTAGGACAGGGTGCTCATGAAGCTTTCACTTGCACACTGTAACAGTACCAGTACTTGTGACTACATCAGAGGTTTGCACTAAACAAGGTTAAAATGAGAGGGAAACACCTCTGCCATTGCACAATACAAAGGCATTTCCTTTCTATTTGACAGTTGTTTTTCTTTTTTTTAAAAGGAGTTTGCACAATTGCTACAATTCTCAAAACCTCTTTTGAAAACTTTCAGAAAATGCAATAATTTGACTCCAGTCTCAGTTCTGTAAGCACACATACTAAATTCCTCCCTGGACCCCTACCAAATCACTTCAGTGATTAACAGGAGTGGGATATTTACTTCTAATCCATGGCACCTTCCATAAAGGCAATGTAACTGGTATTCTGCTTTACAGAAGTGAACCAAGGAATATCCACTTTCAAGTAAATAAATTTCAGTTTTGCTGCCTGCTACATAATCAACGGAAACAAAGACAATGGAAACAACACAGACATACTGCAAATAAAATCCTTTACAGTAGATTCGGAGGCAACAGCAAGGTTTCCGCAGTATGCATAATTTGATACCGATTCATTCAAAACATTTAAAGAAGAAAGTTTATAAACCATCTTAAAAATCTGGGTTTTGGAAAGTGTTCACCATCTTAAAGACCTAGTTATTAAAAAAAAAAACATTAAAATGTTTTACTGCAAGTATCATCTTAACTCTATAAATAACATGATTCAGTATTTCTACAATTTTCTTCTAATCCATGTATTGGGCTAAACATTTTGGTATCTTTTTTTCTTCTCTTCCTCACCAAGACTCCTCCTCTTTCTGAGCATTCATTATATTCCCCTATTTCCTCCTCTGCATGCCATCTCCACATTTCCTTGGACTATCGTAATCAGTGCACATTAGCAAGATGTGAAAATGGAAGCAATGGCAACTGCATGTTGACAAAAAAAAAACGGGGGGTGGGGTGGGAGCTATTTCTTATTTTAGCTGTAAAATACTTTTCCTTAGCTCAAAGAAAACTTGGTACCTAGGGCATGTTCTAGCATATGACCAACCTCTCTTACAGGGAAGTCAGTTGAGCATGCACATTCCTTTATGATGGGGCTTTCATCTGTGCCTTCCTCTTCTTTGAGGAAGAAAGCACTACAAATTAGATCTTTGCATAAAACTCCAGAAGAAACACAGGTAAGAGTTTAGATCTAGTCACAATGTGGTTCAGCACTAAAATAGTATATTATATTCCCCCTCTCCTCTGCACTAACCTGATACTTGCCAGATGGACCACTGACCCATAACTGACTGCTGCTCTACTGAACTAATTTTGACTTTTAAATAAAATACTTAAAAATTTTAATGCAAAGCAACAGCGACTTGAATATGTAAGCACCTGTAAGCAAGCACAGGGGTGACCAAGAACACTAATGAAAGACAATATAAATCAAGGCTTACAAAATATAAGGCTTATAAAATGTATACTTTTCTCTCCTCACAAAGGCTCACTTATCACCAGGTAAAAGTGACAAAAGTCAAGTGAAATAAAGGGCCTGACATTGAAAGGATATAATTTGGAGGAAGGAAGTTCCAGCTTAAGACCTGATTGGCTAGTGCAAGATAACGCTGAAACACTGAAGACATCTGAGCATTGAGGTTTTCACGTCTGCTGAACTCCTGAAGTACCTCTACTGTGAGCATGAAGATCTGCCGCAGATCATCCTCCTACAGTCAGGACGAACACAATATATTAATAGAGACTCTTAGTCATTAATGAAAGTGTTGATAAAAAGAAATACTTTTCTAAAGAGGAAAGGGTTTTCTGTTTTCACTCTATTTTTGCATTAAAATACAGAAAATATTCCAAAGTCAGTCAGAACCCCAACTCATTTGCCAAAACTAATGTAATGTTTTTTTAAGAATAAGAAAGAACAAAATCATTATAAATATCAATCACTGAAAGAAAAAACTGTTCATAATATCTTTTACAACTGGTAGAGGAGGGGGTTGGTCTTTGGCATCAAAAAAAGTGGGTAAATTGTTCCACAAAAGCCAGAGTTTAAAGCAATGCCTTCACAAAAACATTTCTGACTGGCTAAACAATACATCTGAGACCACCAGACTACACCATCTGCAATAATATTTTTAAATACATAGCTCTCCTTGGCTTTAAACCAAATCTATATTTAAGACTATCATTGTTCCACGGAGTATTCGTTTTGTTTGCAATTGGTAGCCAAGGAATTAAAGAGTCCAACTGTGTAAAGATCTATAGCTCCACATTCATAAAATGGGCAAAAAGAGATTGCATCTTTTTGATACAAGTATTAAAAAATATATTATCCATTTTCCTAAAATAGACAATATCTATATGCATAATGTGTGTTTACCCTATTAAATGCTGTTAAGCACACATTGCAGCTGAATACACCTAGTACAAGAAAGTACTTCTTAATACTTAAATTTCAGAAATATAGGTAGCATATATTGATACAGAACTAGTTTACCTGAAATATACGTTTACAGTTACCATGGAACTCCATGCTTAGTCCAATGTTGCTGGTTTTACTTGAACTTGAGAACTCGCTCAGCAACGCCGTTAAAATGGAACAGGCCAAAGTTTGCTATAAAAAAAAAAGGGGGAATGATATAACTAAAAGATGTCCAAAACGTAACACCACCTACATTGTCCTTAAATTATTTTATTAACATATTGCTATGACTATTACTTCGTTGTTCTTCTAACGCAAACTAGGAGAACTCAGACTTTCCGGAGCGCAGACCTTTGGGTGAACATCTCTGGAATCATCCAGACTCCAGGCCTTCTAAAAGGAATTTAAGCATTTGAGCAACAGAAGAAGCTACCACCTGTACAACCATCACTACAGCACGGAAACAAACTTACTGCAATCCATTTGCCAGCCTTGCTGGTTATTTCCTCTCCCCACGCACAGGGCTTTACAGGTGTTACTATTAAGGCAGATTCAGTTTCTTCTCGTTGCTATCGGTCTAATAGTTCAGGTCGCTCTGCAGTTTGTTTTAGCCCTTCTTTGCATTTGCTACACTTACCGTGTCGGTATTTGATCGTGATTAAATTTATACCGCAGAAAGTGACAAAAGCTATTCAAGAACAGCACTGCAACACACAATCTACTGCTTTTCTCTTTCCTCTCTCAGAAAAGAGGGGGAATAACAAGAAAGCTCCATCGCTTGAAAGCTGACGGACGCCTCCCTCCGAAGCACAAGATGCACAAAGCCTCCGAAAGAGCCTTTAAAGCTCTTCTTTTAGAACCATGTCCCAGAAGCAATATAAAATGGGTGAAAAAAAATGCACGCCATGTTTAGAGAAACAGGTCCCTTAAGATCAAGGGCTTAAGTATCTTTCTCGTTCTCAAAACATAAGGTAAGGTAAATCAAACGGTTATCCTAAAACACAACTCAAGAGACAACTTTCCTTTATGAAACACACGGCTCCAGTCATTCGTGCTGTTTTTTGAAATAACAAAGCTTTTTTTCCTGATGCCAAAGTCCAGTAACCATCACCACCAGTTTTAATATATATTAACTGACCACCACACACAAAGGAAAGTAAATATTGTATAACGGGGAACTAAAGTGTACTGCAGAAGCATTCAGTGTACTACTGTAACAAGCACAATACAAATCATATACTGATAAAGTGTAAACCCTTCTTGTTAAATAGATGCTCTTAACACAAAACTTCAAAATTACCAGCTTTACTTCTAGACTGTTTGGAGCCAAGGTGCCAGGGATGGACAGAGGGATAGGAATTGTTAAAGGGTCAGACATGCCAGCAAGTGTCCAGGGGTTAAACAGAAATATGCACACTACCTCTGAACACCCGAAAGATTAAAGTGGAGATGATACTATTTATGCAAGCTCAAACAACAGCTGAGAGCAGTGCCATCCACCCACCAACTGCAACATCTTTGTTCAGAAATGCCTCTGAAGTCAGTACCTTGACCCTCTAGACTAGTTATCTTAGCCAGTATACACTAAATTAACATTCTTGCTTGCTAAATAAGTCCCAGACAGATCCAACAAACATAGTGGCTTCATAACAACATACGGGTTTAATTTCCCAGTATATAATGAAGCTGTACAGTTGGCCAGCATATTGCTGACCAATTGCTAAATCCAAACCTTCTTGTTTTAAAAGGAACACTATTTATTGCAAGTGCACTGTTCCTCATCTACTACTGTCACCATTGTCACACGTCACTCATGATAACAGCCAGTGAAAACCAGCAAACTTTAAATTTGTTCAGTAGATGTGCAGTTTTGTCAGTCCTATGCAAGGCTTCCAAATATTTCCAACTAGCTCAAACATTTCAGTATTTTATTTCCAAATTTCGGTGTAAACTAGTTCTGCAACAGAAAGTTTATTTACAGGAAATCCAGATTTGATCCAATATAAGAATTAACGTAGGCTAACGTTTTGAGCTTTAAATCCAACATTAGAAGTCCCATATGAAAAGAATTAATCTGAAAAAAACAAAAAACCCACACCAGCCCCCCAAGTTTAGCTCTAGAACAACGCTTCAGATAAGAACATGCGCTTTTTAAAGGAATAATGCAAAGTTGCCAAAGAACGTCACCCAATTTCATTGTATGCCAGCAGATGCAGAAGGCTCACAAGGCTCTAAATACTTTCATATACACTCTACATTTTGCTTCAGTTACCAATACATCAACATTTTTCAGCTCTGAGAAGCAGTGACATAAGGGTATCACTGGTGATAGCCATAAATTTGTACACAGTTTGCTGCTCTATAACATACTATGATAACCATGTGGTATTAATGACTACAACAGTAAAATAGCCTGGCTAAACTAAGCTGCCTTTGCTTCACCATGCCAAGATCTTGACAACAAGCTACTATGCAGAACACCATAGGACAACCAGGGCAGTGACACAGACGGGTTATCACTTACAGTTGGCTGTCAATTATGGGGGGAAAAAAAAAGTGAGTTAAAATGATCGGAAAGGAATAAATGAAAAAAAATGTTTGTTCCCATCCTGATTACAAAGAGCTAACACTAGCTGAAATGGTAGACATTTTCTCCTTCCATTTTTCTCTGATTTGTTTATGTGGTGTTTATCGTTTGATCGTTTATCCTTTGTTTGCATATTCTTGTGCTACTGCATGAAAACAAGCACCACAGGTTTGTGACACTTTGTGCTTTTCTCCCAATTTCAAGGAGAAGTGTAAAAGGAAGGCTCAGTCTTACGACTGATGGTGAAGAAAGATGTGAATGTGAAGGATGCAGCTAGGCCTGACTGAATCTGCTAAGAGCCTGATAAAAAAGCTGAGTGGTGACCTGCCCCACCGCTTTCACCATGAGCTATTTTGGGCAGCACTGAGGTCAGTGACCGCACTGAGCGCGAAGGGAAGAGAAGTAGCCCGGTACCGGAGAACTGCATGCTTGAGTCTTTCCATCAGGCAAGCTCCTAGTACCGTCCAGGGCACCTTGCACCCCTCATTTGCCTCCCTTCAAATTCCCAGCACCCTGCCAGCTCCTTCACATCCAATTTCGATTTGAGGAGTGCAAGTCCTGCCTCTTTGCCCAGCATCTCAAGGACTCAGGGCACGCTACGGCCCCTCCGGTGGCTCCTCTTGGCCACAGTGCAAGCATCGCTGGCCGCATCGCACCTGCTCCTATTACCGGTGAGGATCTCAGCATGCTCATCACCAGCCACTAGAGCAGGAGAAAGCTATGGGTGGGATGTGGGCCAGTAATTCCAAATCTGCTGCAAGAATAGGCAGAGAGGAGACTTACTGGAGAAGGCTGGTGTTGACCACCAATAGATTCACTTACTGACAGAAGCAGAAGAATAAATTGAAAGCTGTAACTGATCCTTATTTATCTGCAATTTCTCCAAGTGTTTTGACACAAAGCTGTATACAAAACATTGCTGCTTCCCCAAACTGCTGTAAGACCATATGTAGCTACACAAATTATAGCGCGTAGAAGTGAGATTACCATTTTCATATGAATATTGAAAGATAAACTAATTAACATTAAAAAAGTATGCCCAGCTATCTTTCAAACTCTTCTGAATACACAGTAACATACTTCAGAGCCTCTGGAAAAAAGTTCACTACTTCTCTGTTAACAGTTAAAAATTTGAAATATATTTTCTGAATTTACATGTATGTTTGGTATGAAGACACTTTCAAAGTATCTAAACACAAATGCAGGCTAAAGTATTATAAGATTTCAAAAAACTGAAAAGCAATATAGTTTATGACAAACTACTACAGTTGTGCTTTGTGGAATAAAATTACTTCCTCTTATACATAACAAAATTGAATACATTTAACACATCTGAAGTTCTAGGTTTTTTCAGGCTTTCTGCCACACCACAGGAGATGAACAATTCCTTTTAAGAACACCATACAGTAATAACCAGAAAATGCAAGTGATTCTGGGCATCGTATTAAAAGTCAGATCTGAATGTCTATTGCCCAGTAATGCCATTAACTTCATACCAGTAAGAGTACACCTCTGAACCTAGTTTGACTCACTCGCTAGCAATTTCACTAGTTCTGCCACAAGTACATACCCAAACAATAACCCCATCTAACAAAATAAAATACTTCTCTTGTTGGGAGCGGACTGCCTCTGAGAATAGCTTGGCACTCTCCCCAGTTAGCTTTATTACCAGGAATAAACTTTATGAAAGATCGCTATACATAAAATAGACTCTCAGCTGCTCAAACAGAAGATCAATGAGACTTGTGATAAGAGATTAACTTGGCAATCAGACACCCAACAGTAGCACGGGTTTAGTGGTTTTCTTTTTAAATTAAACTAGCAGCACACGGACACTTCAGAAAGAACATGCATCATCTTAATAGCAAACATCTGTACACAATTCATAAAAAGCAAACGTACTAAGTAAATACAACTTCTTCCTTCCAATGGAATGTCCCTTATAACAAAAGCTAAAGCCGTAATGTTTGAAGGATTTCACACTTGTGCCTGCACTGCCCATGGAATAAGTGAACGGCTTCATTTGAGGGTAGTTAGGTTACAAAGCATCTGAAAGGAAGAAGAGTTCAAGCACGGCTTAGGAAAAAATGGACATGTGGTACACCAGCTCCAAGGCAGAAAAGCCAATAGGCAAAACAGAACAAATTACAACACCAAAAAAAAACATTTCCTTACTTCTGAAATTCAGAGTAGACATACAGCCAGGTTGTCAGAGGCTTGATACAAGCTTAATCATTCATTTCTCTACAAAAAAATAAACTATCAAGTCAACCCTCCACAGGTACATTCAGCAAGTATCATTTATAGCTACAGAAAAATGAGCAAGTACATTTAAGAGAATAACGGTCTCACCTTCACAGAGCAAATCATACGACTTACCCTATTACATTAAATCATTTCCAGTTTGAACGCAAATTTATAAGACTTTTGTCCCCATTCTTATATTATAAATTCTGTCACTTCAACTAAAGGGAAACCACAAGAAGCATTTAATAACATCCCTAAAACAGCTCCCTTTCACTTGTGCAAAACCAGGAAGCTGGTGCAACCAGAGGCATGCAGGAGGTAGAATTTGCTGTGCTGTTCCTAGGTGATAAAATTTTGT